TTATTATATATATATATATATATATATATATATATATATATATATATATATATAAAACTGAACATATGTATATAAGAATATATACCATTGAATTTTTATATTACGCTTTTGCACGGTTCGAGTGGAAATTCCGCTGAATGCGGCTGGCTGGTTGCATAGCCGATATAACTGATGCAGGGGAAGAACGAATATACGCGATAGAACTGCAATATTGGATAGATTTGTAATACACGAGGGATTCAGAACAATCAGCCACGCAAAATGTTGGTTTTAAATGTTAAAAATCAAATGTCATGAGATTTGCGAATCTGTACTATTTTATCCTAAGTTAATTTCATGTGGATAATATTTTAAAGGATATATTTGCAATTAGCCAATATAATGTAATATCAAGTAACAATTGTGCGACTATATTTTTTGCTTAACCGTTCTAGAAAATAAACTCATAAATCTTTTAGATCCTAAAATTCAAGACCTAGGCATAGAAAGAACAAACGCCTCATCCAATTCTCTCAATTTCCCTTAAAGCGCACATAAAATGGAATAAAAAGGCGCAAGAAAAAAGTTAAAGGATCTATTTTCTGAGATTTATAGCGCAAAGATAAAAAGACCAATTTTTGCACGATCTAATAAGCTATCGGAGCATACATAGAAAAACTACAATACAAAAAAATTTAAGCTAGAAGTCCTAAACATGAGAAGGCTGAACTTAATATATTTTATTCTACGATTAATTTCTCAGATTAGGACATATGAAAAATTCTAAAGAACCATATCCTAAAATCTAAGGCTATATAGCTAAAATAGGAAGGCTAACCTTTGAACGGTTGATTCAGCTACCAGTGCACGTAAGATAAGATAAGCCGCAAAAAAAGAAGCCAGAGAAGTCTAAAATTTAGGACCCAAATATAGGCAAACATAGGGAAAGCCAAGAAGATCCCAAAATTTATGGCCTTAACATAGGAAGACCAATCTTGCACGGTTGATTCAACAACCAATTTCGCTTAGAGTGCAAAATTGAAGCTAGAAAATTCATATCCAAGAAATTAATACCCGAACGTAAGAAGGCCAAACGAAAGAGGAGCAATCATCGAATGTACACACACACATGTAGCATATCTAACAGGTAGCCCGACAGCAGCACCACCACCACACCCAAACGAAGGGGAGTAGAACGTAAAGGGAAGCTGTATCGATTGGAGGCTTTGCTGGGTAACCACCGGCAGCTTCCGTTGGTCCTGCACTCTCCTCCAAATCTCGCCATTGGAAAGCCAACGAATTTTACACCACGTGTTCCATCGACCATGTCCAAAGGTCCCGCTTGCTCGAGCTGCCATGAATAGACCCGAGTCTCGACTCGACTAACAGATTTCGTGATTCCTGTAATTAAGTTAATCGAATCGCCTTTGCATACATGCTGGTCTGGCTTAATATACAATCTCGCCACGGCTATTCTAACTATTGGAGTTTAAAGTAATACATCGTGAATCTCCAAAGGCGTATACGTTAAAAGATATTTTAATTCTCTTTAGGATCCGAATGATTTGACGATCGTACGTTGATCGTTTCTAAATCGAATTCGTGATTGAAGGTATCAAATCAACTCAATTTCAGATTTTTTATAATATTTTATAATTATTATAAATATACAGATTTCAACACAAAGTTTCTATTCGAATAGAAAAATAATTATATATTACATACATATATTATTGCGAGGGATCACAAGTAAAATTGCTTGTACGCGCAAAACCATGCACATTACTCGAATCGTGTAACGATCAAATTTGCCATTAAACGAGTAACATCGCTGTAAATTCGAAATCGGATTGAAAAGCAACTCTTCATTATATTATAGAATTTTCGAGATCAATGAATGTTACAAATGCATCAGCCATGTTGAGACGAAAAAGATGAACCGCAAATTGTGGTTCGAACCAACCGACTAAAATGGAACTAGCAGCTATCGTGATAGTAATTAGATCTAGTTCCATTGGTTAAATAGTTGCAAATGAGAAAATACCATTGTCTATCCGAATCAAATGTGTTGTATGCGATGCATATAGGAAGAAAATTCATTCGATTCACACTAACAGTCGATGCACGAGCACAAATGCTATTTCAATATGGCTGCACGTGATTGGAACGTGAATGTTGAGGTTAGTTTGAAAACATTGTTGGATATAGAATGTTCGACTATAAGTATCCAAAAAAGAAGTTAAAGGATACTCTTTAATATAAAATAATTGATATGGATCGATTTAAGATCATTTACTATAATTTCGACGTTAAAATTTAAGTTTTGTCAAAAAAATTTAAGTTTAACTTGACAAAACTTAAATTATTATTAGTATTATTATTAGTATTATTATTAGTATGCAGATATTTTTACATTTGATGAAAAATTTAAATATAAAAAAATCTATAAAACATAAAAATAAACGTTTTAAAAAAATAAACTTTAATATAAATTCTATCTTGGATTTGCATAATTATATGCAATCTATTCCTTATCATTATCAATATTTTTTTCACATATTTCCATTTATTTTTATTTTTAAAAAGTAATCAGGAAAATAATAAAATCTTATTATATTAGATTTTTCCTTATTTTTACTCATACATTTATATAAATGTTAAATATTAAAATACATTTGAGAAACTGGAACATCCTATGTAATTTCATAACACTTTTGATTATATAATATATAAATTACTTGATACATGATTATTTTTTTATAATATTATGAGTGACTTTCCAAAATGAATATAATACGATGAATCATGCTTACTTATTATATAATTTAATTGATAAATACATCGCTTCTTATATGCGACATCTAATTTTGATTCTAATTTTGATCTAATAATCCGATCAAACTTAATCTTTTTTCATCGACAACTTATATAAAAATAAAAATTCTTCTTGAATATTACTTTTATATTTCTTCGGTTAATTCTTATTAAATAAAAATTTTACGATATAATGTAATATAATTATATTCAACGAAGATCGTATTTAATAAACGATTAAATAAATTAGTTATATAAATGAAATAATTTATTTTATTTCACATACTATTAATAAATGCAATTGTTTCATTTCAAATACTTCGAATGTGTAATAAAATCTTAGCAACTCTTTCAATTCAAGAGAATTCAAGAGAAGATTTAAAATCAAGTTTTAATTACTTTCGCCTTATTCCAAGCAATCCAATTAACTCATCCTTTTTATCTTTATACAATCAAATAGAAGGGATATATCTACATCGTCATCGATCTAATACATTAAAAATTTTTTTTTTAATAACTATTATGCATGTAGATAAATCTCGTTCTCCAGGATTGCGTTATCATCATCAAAATATATTCTGGACAATTTAAGAAGATAATATCAAAGTTATAAAGAAACAAATACGATTAGTTACAAAATTAATTACAAAAAAAGAATTACAGAAAATTAAAATTCTAAAACTAAAATTAAATTTCTATTTTTTATTTGGCAGAAGAATATATTTTTTTATGAATGTGTTATGTATCGTATTTGTACAATTATTATTTTAAGCCACATCAATGGTACGTAACATTCACTTGTTTCATATGCATTAGAAACATTAGAAAAAAATCTTACATTATATATATATATATATATATTGTGAATGACTAAAATCAAAATACTATATATATAAAGATTAAATATATATAATTATGAATAAAAAATAATATTGATTTTGCCAAAAGCATTTGTGCATTTTTTAAATTTTGCAAAAAATTTTTAACAAAGAAATTTGACTTGATTTCGTAGTTCTAAATGTGAAATGAAAATATCATTAGTACAAGAAAATTGCGATAAGGATAATTCAGCTAGCGTAATCTCGACAACGTAATAACGATAACCGAGTGATTAATCAATCTTCAGCATCATTATACGCGTGTAAGTGGTGAGGAGGCGTATCGAATGGGGTGGTAGAAGAAGCACGTCGCTGATCACGATTTGCATCTCAAACGGGCTTGGAACGATTGTTGGCTTGATATGGAACATCACGTAACGTAAATCTCGATCGATTGGAAACGATAAGCCAATTTGCGACCTTCTGTCTTTAACGAGCAGACCACTCAAACTACTTCGGCATCTCTTTTGCATCTTGAACATTATAATTAACTGCAAGTTAGGCGTTACCAATTAATGTAGATCGATTGATTAAAGCAAAATTTTTTTAATTTAAAAGAGGATTGAATAATTTGTGCACGAGTTAGAATAGAATGGAATGAAAATGAATTTTAACGCCTGATAATATTAAATAAATGTAAAACTACGATATATTTTTTATTTAAAGAAATAGGAAATTAGAAATAATAGAAATTGCAGATAAAATGTAAAATATTCTTAATTCATCATAGATGTAATTGCATTTTAAAATTGGAAAAAAAAATAAATTTTGATTAGCTACGATATATGTTTTTAAATTTTTTTTTTTTTATTTTTTATTTTATTTTTATTGGACTTACAAATGGACTATAAATACTTGACATAACTCAGAATAAGAAATTGCATTTCATCTTTCAAATAATATTATATAATTCTTTCCAGAAGAAATATTTAGAAATTCACTTTACATCGAATCGAAATTATATATAAAAAATATTATTACATATAAAAGAAATATTTCAATTTCTAATTAATTTATTATTTGTAATTCATTATTTGATCTACCAATTCAATTTTTCGTAAGAATTAATAAAAATAATGATTTCACAATAATAAAAAAAGGAATATCTCTGTTCAAAATTTGAAGATTTACAAAGAATAAAAGTCTATCTGTCGTGACGGATATCGTTTGTATACGTGCAGTTTATTTCTGTCTCATATAATTAACCTTGCTTTAGCATTAAATTTGAACCTCTTCTTTTATCTCTACCTCTTTTATATTCTTTCATTTGGTTTC